CAGGTAAGAGGCACTTCAAGGATGTCAACGGTTGTTCTCTCCTTGTTTTACAGATAAGGAAACGGGATCAGAGAAGATCAATAACTTACTCAAGCTCACAGAAGTAGATTTGTTCAAAGTTCATCTCCTTCCCACAGGAATATATTAATAGCTCATTTTATCCTGGTAGACTCTGCTGCGTCTGTCCTTAAACAGTTTTACCCCAGTTGGTGTCTGACTGCCCCCTGTAGCTGTGGTCTAGTGGGGAAAGGCATAACAAAACCACTCAAAACCAAAACACCAACTTGGAAGTCAGGGGATGTGAGGTTTAAACCCTGGTCTTGGTATGTTCTAGTTGGAAGGTCTTGGGCAAGTTATCGGATGTCCTGAATTTTTGCTTCCTCATCGTATCAAGGTCTCAGGCTTGCGGTTGGAGTTAAATGAGAGGGGTGCAGAGAAAAAAAGACCAAACTCCTATTAAAAGATCAGTAAATGGTGGCTGATAGACGTTATAATATAATGTGAAGGGCACCATCTTGGGCTGGAGGGTGACGTCTAGATCAATGCCACCCGGTGGGTGGTCCACAGACCAGCATCGTCAGCATCACCGGGGAGTTTATTAAAAATGCAGAAACCTGGGTCCCTCTCCAGACCTATGGAATCAGAATCTGCATTTTTCTTTTCCTTTTTCTTTTTTGTCTTTTTTTAAGGCTAGTCAAGTGAAGCAGTGGAGAAAGAACAAAGGAATCTGTAACCGGTTTTGATCAGTTAGTTGTAAACACCACTGCTCTCAGATCAGCCGAATCCACATTTTTAAGAAGTTTTTCTGTTTTTAGAGACAGGGTCTCCCCCTGTCACACAGGCTGGAGTGCAGTGGTGCCATCGTAGCTCACTGCAGCTTTGAACTCCTGGGCTCAAGCAATCCTCCTGCCTCAGCCTCCCGAGTAGCTGGGACTACAGGTGTGAATCACCATGCCCAGCTGATTTTTTTTTTTTTTAATATTTTGTAGAGATGAGGTCTCGCTATGTTGCCAGGCTGATCTTGAACTCCTGTCCTCAAACAACCCTTCTGCCTTGGCCTCCCAAAGTGCTGGGATTCCAGGCATGAGCCACTGCACCCAGCCAACGTTTTAAAGTTCCCCAGGTAATTCCTATGTACATTAAGGTGGATACATACTGGTCTAGCAAGATGACAATGGCCAGGCACACCTGCCACCATTTCCTCTTCCTAAGCCTGTGGCAGACATCACTAATTGATTCTGTCACTCTTTCCTAATGAGCCCAGCTATGGCCTCCATCCTGTTCAACACAGAGCTCTGAGCAGCATCTCCCCATCAATCAGACTGTGTCTGTGAGATGAAATCCATTTTCCGTCCCTGACCCAAGGGTTCAAGTGCAGTTTGTACTGCTTACTATGTGAACTTGGGCAAGTAAACGCAGGGTCATTCAGAAGCTAAATTAAGGCTGAGCACGGTGGCACAAGCCTGTAGTTCCAGCTACCTGGGAGGCTGAGGCAGCAGGATCCCTTGAGCCCAGGAGTTTGAGGTTGCTGTGAACTATGACGACACAACTGCACTCTACCCAGGGCAACAGAGCGAGACTTTGTCTCATCAAAAAAAAAAGAAGCTAAATTAAAATAAAGATATGGGCCAGGCGCGGTGGCTCACGCCTGTAATCCTAGCACTCTGGGAGGCCGAGGCGGGCGGATCGTTTGAGCTCAGGAGT